TTCACCGTTCTTGAGTGACAAGCTGAGGAAGCTGAGTATCTGATGACAATGCAGAGGAAAGACAGGAGGGGGAAATGGCTGGAGGTAGGAACACAGGTTAACAATTGTTACAGCACAAATGAAGGGGGAAGTGATTTTTAAAAATCATTTCTCCTATATATGCCATAGGGACCAAGGAATACCCTATACTAGGGCAATATGCTGAACCTCACCAAATTTCCTTTTCTGGTGAGGACAATCAAGTCATTCACGTTAGAGCCCTCAGCTATTTCCCATTGTCCACCGACTTCTCCAACATTTGAGTCTTGTCCAAGTACTGGGGGAAAATCCAGAGAAACTACTACCTGAACAAAATAACAAAAACTAGACAGCATAAGAAGTAACTCCTAAAGTGTTACTTAGGAAGGGTGCATCCCACTGACGCCATGACTCCACCACACCCCTGCTGGCATTAAGTGAAGGCAGGTAGGCAGAGGGAAACTTCACGGGAGCTCTCCTGCTACCCTGCTAGGGCAGGAGGGGGGTGTTGGCCAGGTGGCCAAACAGTCCTCCCTATGGGATTATGCCAGGGCTTAACCCATTCAAACCACACACAGGACTACCCACACACTGGAAGCCACGAGAGGGCTTCAGGATCATTGAGAGAAGAGCTACACACAGCCTCAGAGAGAAGGAAAAAAGAAAATGTTGCTGTCCTTGAATTACTCAAAAGGACTCTAAGGGAAATGCCAGAGTAAAATCTGTAAATGTTGAAGTCTGTTGTAGAATCCAAAGACTTTCAAGGCAAAATGTAAAACATAAATACAAATAAAAATTTGGAAAACTGGTCAGGTGCGGTGGCTCACGCCTGTAATCCCAACACTTTGGGAGGCCAAGGCAGGTGGATCATGAGGTCAAGATCAAGACCATCCTGGCCAACATAGTGAAACCCTGCCTTTACAAAAACACAAAGCTGGGCATGGTGGCGCATGAGCCTGTAGTCCCAGATATGAGGGAGGCTGACGCAGGAGAACTGATTGAACCTGGGAGGCAGAGGTTGCAGTGAGCCAAGATCGCACCACTGCACTCCAGCCTGGCATCTGGCGACAGAGTGAGACTCTGTCTCAAAATAAAAAAAAAAAAAAAGGAAAACCTAAAATTAGAACACACAGGACTTTGATAAAAAGAAAAAAAAATCACAAAAATATAATCATTCAAACACACACATCAAATAGTGCACATAATGTTTAGCCAAAATTTGCCATTTGGCCTCAAAATGTTAAAACTGGAAGACAGTGAGTTAGTAAGTAGAGACGAAGGAGGAGAATGCTACCAGGTCTCCCAACTTCTGGCTGATGCTCTCAGTCTCCACAATGTGCCACACGGATCTTCATCTCAGAGATAAAGTCCGCATGGAACAGCAGAAGGGCAGAGCTGTGAAAGTTTACAAAAGGATGCTTTGGGCAAGAAGGAATACAGAGTGCAAAAGGGAAAAGAGAACAGAAACCAAGTGTTTTTAACGGTGCCTGCAAAAATACAGGTGGAACTTAGTATCCGTGGAAAATGGTGAGTGGCACATATAAAATTATATAAGTGTGCACACACACAGGACAGTTATGAATGTAAAGAATACAATAGTATCCCATCATTCAAAAGTCCTCATAGTACCTGATGGCAGAAAGCTTTTTTAAATTTTTATTTTAAAATAATTTTAGATTTACAGAAATGTTGCAAAAATAGTACAGTGTGTCAGTGTGGGTGTCTCTGGATGAGATTAGCACGTGAACTAGTGGACTGAGTAAAGCAGACTGTCCTCCCTAAGGTGGGTGGGCCTCATCCAATCAGTTGAAGGCCTGAATAGAACAAAAAGGCTGACCCTCTCCTGAGTAAGGAAAAGACAGATTTCCTTCACTGCTCCCTCCTGGGTCCCCAGCTTGCCAGCTCATCCTGCACATCTTGGGACTTGTCAGTTTCCATAATTGTGTGAGCCAACTCCTTATAACAAATCTTAATGGTTCAGTTTCTCTGGAGAATCCTGACTAATATACCTTTGCAGGGCATCATATCAGGGAGCACATAATGTCCTATACATTTTTCCTTTTTTTGAGATGGAGTCTGGCACTGTTGCTTGGGCTATAGTGCAGTAGTGCAATCTCAGCTCACTGAAACTTCCAACTCCCAGGTTCAAGTGATTCTCCTGCCTCAGCCTCCCCAATAGCTGGGATTACAGGGACCTGCCACCACACCTGGCTAATTTTTGTATTTTTAGTAGACACAGAGTTTCACCATGTTGGCCAGGCTGTTCTCAAACTCCTGACCTTAGGTGATCTACCCGTCTCGGCCTCCCAAAGTGCTGAGATTACAGGCATTAGCCACCACGCCCAGCCAATGTCCTATATCTTATGGCTGTGATATTAACCTTGACCACATGGTAAAGGTGGTATCTGCTAGATTTTTCAGTATAAAGTTAAGATTTATTCCTTTGTAATTAATACTCTTAAGAGAAACACTTTGAGATTCTATAAATATCCTGTTTCTCCTCAAACTTTGGCCTGCTAATTTTAGTGTCCATTGGTGGATGGTATCCGAAGCAAATATTACTGTGGTGTTTGCTTCACTGTGAGTTTCGATTTCTCTAATTCTTTGTATTGATTAGAATTCTACTGTCCTTTCTTTCCCATTTCCTAATGTATTCAATTGTTCATTTATCTAAGTATGCACTAATGGATATTTATTTTATTCTATAGGTTATAATCCAATACTCTCATTACATTGTTGCTCAAATTGTTCCAGCTTTAGCCTTTGGGAGCTTGGCAAAAAGCATTTTTAAAAGGGAAATTGAATTAGATTTGACCCTGCTTAGAGACAATGAGACCAAGTCAAAGGCTTTGGACTGCAGCACTCTTGGGGTTCACCAAGTAGCCCCAGATCTCATGACCAGAGGGTTTTGCAAAAGCAAAACACTCAGGATACTTGTAAAGGGCACTGAAGGAGGAGGCTTAGGTGGTGAGGCACTGCAAGCTTCATTTTTGGCAGGAGAACCACCCAGTGACTTCCACAGGATGGACAGAAGCAGCTGAGGGATATGTGGGCACCTGAAACTCGCCCTGCCAGCCTCCAAGCTCAGAATGTGAACTGTGAACCATTGGTGAGGAAAAATGAAGGTTTAAAACTTCAAAGCCCTGGCTGTGAAGGGACCCAAGGTACATCAGACCATCCAAAGTATGCTCCACCTGAGGCCAGCTTCTAAGCACCTAGAACACCTCCCCAAGGATGTAGAGCCCTCCTGACAATGAGGTTGAGTCCACATCCTGATAGTAGCAAAGTGACTTCAGGTGCCCAGAGTGACCTGACAGACCTCATGGCTTGGTCTTCAAGTGGCAATCAAAGAGCAGAGACCAGGGATGAAATATGAGGACAGTGACCATGCAGCCAGAGGGATGGGCCATGTGGGTCTGGAGAAGGAAAGCCCAAAGGGGCAGTGGCAGGAACTGGTTCTGCTGAGAGGCTGGAGAATGACAGTTGGCCCTGGATATCTGTAGAATTTCACATGACCTCTCCATGGTGGTTTAGATAGCTGCTCTCCATGAGGAAGGCCATATTGTAGATAAAGGAACCACTGGGGCACCCAAGGATGACCAAAAACTGAGTGGGAAATACAAAATCATGAATAACAAGAATGTTAAGGGGTCCTGATGGATATCAGCTCTCTTACCCAGACTTCAGTTCACTGTGATTGGACTTTGTCATAGATCGTTGGTTATAAGCCTTTAGTGACCTTGATTAACCCAATGCTTATCCTGACTGCCAAGCATGACCGGCCCTTCCCACACTGTCTTCCACTTCTGTCACAGGCAGCAACAGAGGGTTGACCAGGAGATAAGGGACACAGCAAAGCGTATGGGAGGCGGACTGAGCGGTAGGTCAGGTCCCTCACCCCTGCTGGTACTAACTGAGCAGATGGCTGGATGAGCAGCACAGGGAGAACAATGGAGGACAAAGACACACAGTTGTCCAGGAAGAATGAAAGCAATATTGAGTCTGAGAAGAACGGCCAGGATCCAGGCCTGAAGACTGAGGCAAAATTGAGGGAACAAGTAGGCTGCAAAGCTGAAGCAAGAGAATAGGAAGGGACAAGCAGAAAGCCACATGTGCCTGAAAATTCCATTAGAGGGGGAGACCACACACAGCATAACTGAGCAAGTGCTCACAGTCCTGGGCTATTTGCTTGCTGGCTGGCTCTGAGCCGTGCGTCCTTGGGGAGGATGCATGAGAGCTGACCATGTGTGACACTCTCCAGACCTGGGCAGGAGAAGCCAAGCTCTACCTCCTATGAATGATCTACGTCAGTCAAACATGCAGGTGCTCGTCCTATCCTCCCTGCCCCAAATAACCTCCGTCTGTCTAATCCTGACCTTTCCCTTAAGACTCAGACCAAGTCCCGTCTCCTCCACTCCAAGAAGGCTTCCCACACTGTCCCAGTCTATTGGAACCACTCATTGCCCATGCCTCTGCTAAATCCCAAACGGACATGCTGCTTAGAGAATAGTCTAGCAGCACCAGCAGCACCTGAGTGTTAGTTAAAAACAGAAATTCTCAGATCCCATCAACTGAATCAGAATACTTGGGAATGGGACTAGAGAACCTGTATTTAACAAGCTTTCGGGCCAGTGTTTCTCAAACTCTAGAGGCATTAAAATCACCAGGAGAGCCTGCAATTTTTGTACCAGACTTTGAATAGCATTGTTCCAGGTGATTCTTGTGCACACTGAAGTTTAAGAAGTATTGGGCTAAGCTAGAGTAGATCACTGGTCTCAAACTTGAGCATACAGTATAATCACCTGGAAGTCTTTTTTTTCTTTTCTTTTATTTTTTAGTAGAGATGAGGCCTCGTTATGTTGCCCAGGCTGGTTTTGAACTCCTGGGCTCAAGTGATCCTCCCACCTTGGCCTCCAAAGTGCTGGGATTACAGGCATACACCCCACCACGCCTGCCCTTGAAGCCTTTTTAAAAACGCTAACTGGGGTGTGGGCATTACTCCGTTTCTCGCCATGTCTTCTCACAAGACTTTCAGGATTAAGCGATTCCTGGCCAAGAAACAAAAGCAAAATCGTCCCATTCCCCAGTGGATTCGGATGAAAACTGGTAATAAAATCAGGTACAACTCCAAAAGGAGACATTGGAGAAGAACCAAACTTGGTCTGTAAGAAATTACACATGTGATGGCACACATATTTATGCTGTCTGTAGGTCACAGTCGTGTTACCAAATCAAGCTGAAAAATGTCACCGCCATCTGGAGAAGTTTGAACAGTTTCCTTTCTGTATCTGTTATGAAGGCATTAGTACAACGCACAGTGCTTCCATTATTCATGTTAAAAAAAAAAAAAAAAAACAAGGTTTTGGTTGCCTGGGTTCAGTAATAAATATGTGGGACCTTTCAAAAAATAAAAAAATAAAAAAAATAAAAACGCTAACTGATGTCCCTGATCCCAGGAGTTTCTGATTCAGTAGGTACAGAGTGAGACCCAAGAACTTGCATTTCTAACAAGAGCTCAAGTATTACTGATACTGCTGTTCCAGGAACCACACTTTGAGAACCACTAGGTAAATCACACAGCCATCTTGCAGTCTTACCTACATGTATGTCCTGTCTCCTCAAATAATTTTTAAGCACCTTGAGCGCAAGTAAATCTCTATTTTACTTTTCTGTCCATCTGGTTACTATCACGTAGGAACCATCATTAAGGTTATGTATGATAGCTTTAATTATGTTTGATTTCTGTCCTTTCTCAGAATGGAGAGCTATAATAGCAATTAAAAAGTATAATAATGTAAAAGCATTTGCAAACTAGAATGTGCTATTCTAACATAAGGAATTATTTTATACTCATCTCCAGTAATCAAAACAAGTAATGTGGACAGAGCCAGTCCAATACCTCTCCAAGTACAGGAATCCCTTCTCACACTTTCCTACCAGATACTCCCCATCCCCAACCCCACCCTGCCGAAACTTCTCTCCCATAATTTACTGAGCAGGGCAGACTATTCTGCTGTTAGATGGTTCCTTACACTGAAACAAAATAGTCTCCTTAGAACTTCCACCATGTATCTCATACCTTCCTCTGGAATTCACAAAAAAAAAAAATTTATGGCCGTATTTATTCTAGAACAGCACCCATTCCTAGTCTCCACTAACATACTTCTATGGAAAAACTGATCATCTGTTTTCACATATATCTTTATGAGATGGTGGACAGAAAGTTTATTTCAGACCCCTGGAAACAGCTACAGGAATGAACCTCTGAATCTCATCTCCTTCCTCCCTTACTAATTCTTTTCCCACTTCCCACTAGTAACTGTCAGCTCCTCTTCCACAATTCAGCTAAATTTCCAAATTCTATAAGTGACAAAAGAGACAAGACTGGCTATGCTATTAAATATAAATTCAAGGGAGAAACTAAAGAGAATAATCAAAAAAGTTTCCAAGACTCATTTTCTCTGAGTCTAAGAGATACAGTGTGTTTTACATAGGGTTCCCTATAGCTAAGCACTCACATGATTTATGAGCAGACAATTATAGTAAAGTCAATGTGGACATTATTCCTACTTCTAATTGTCCCTCTCTCACCTTTCATTAACTGGAAATTGAAGAAAAATTAAGAAACAAGGATTTTCAGTGCTTTTCCCAAGGAATCAGGAGATCATGATAATCTTACATCCAAACATCAAAAAGCACACACTTAAATTTACACAATTAAAACTTTTTTTTTGCAAGTGAATCTCCCAGAGGGCAAAGCTACAGGAAAAATAAAATCTACTTCCTATTCTCTTATACTCCCTGATCAGACCCCACTGTGTCAGAAATAATTATAAGACAGCCACTTCCTTCAAAAAGCCTTTGTTTTCACACTACAAGCATACTCTAAAATCACTGCACAGATTGTGATTAGCTCACGATTGCCAATTAGCTCACACTCTGAGAAAAAAATAAAGATGGGTAGAAGAAATACCAGAAGAAGCTCCTTAATTTAATCCCTCTTCAGATTTCATTCTAGAAAGCAACTAGATACTCCTGTAATTTTTATAAGATTTTCTGAAAGAACACAGAAAAATTTCTCTCTTTTCAGCTCAACACCTTCCTCACTGGCCACCGATACCACCATCACCCTGTCTCTTTGCTGATGTCCTAGTTCTTACAATTCCTTATGAAACAAAGTAGAAGTGCAGAAATCCCAGGCTCTAAACACTGGGTTGTACATGCTCCTCTGAACTTCAGTTCTCTATTAATGTGTCTGAACACCTCCCAAACTCCAGACACTCAGAGCATCCATGGGAATACTTTATAATTTTAGGAAACTTGGATGAAGGATTTGTACCAGTGTGGAAAGACTTTACACATCTAAATTAGGAAAGTATTCCTCAGGATGAGGCAACTGCCTACTCAAGCTCACTTATAATTTAGCATCACTACGCAGCTCCCGGAAGTCTTAAAGATCTATAGCTAACATCACCAACAAAGATACCAGTTTTACCAACTCACTGATGATCAGCCTTCCTGGTTCTCTCCCTTCTTGAAGCTGCTCAATGTTGTTGTTTCTGAGTGGCTGCACAGTCAGCTGAAATGGTGGGATTTGAGGGCTACAAAAATTATATGAGTCTCTCTTGCCAGTATCACTTTCCCAAATCGCTATCCCATCTTCTGAGGATAAAGAATATGTATCACTCAATTTAAATTGCATTCCAGGACAAGCTTTCCCCTCAATTTCATTTCTGTCTTGTCTGCCCTGTGCTGGGCAATCAAAGGAACCAGCCGTTCTATCTCTTTGTTCAATAAAGACTATCTGGTAGCACCCAAATCCTGGTTAATAAAACACCACATCAGAAAGAACACAATGTCATGTTGAGATTTAAGTTCAAATCCTTTTATAAGGAACTTGCCCATCTTTTGAGAAAGCTGAATAGTAATAGATTCTAGTGGAAGATTTTGTATTCGGCCATTGGGGCCAGAAAAGTTCAACTCTGCAGGCAGACTCCACATTCCTGGAGGACTTTTCTTCATTTTATGGAGTTTAGGCTCCACCTTAGCTGGAATTCAGGATCCTTAACCACTTTCAAACTTGTACATAATCACCAAAAACTGGTAAAAATCTTTAACCACCAGAACTGTTTAGGACTTGCCCAGAGTGGTAAGCCTTACCCAGATTAAGTCTCTAGGCACAGATCCCTTAGGAGAAAACCAAACTGCTTTCAACCTTATATTTAAACATGGAAATCCTATACCTTCTCAGACCATACCCTCATCAGTATGGTGGACATCATGTCAAAATTCTGTGTGATGCTTCAAGTGCAGGAGTGAATCTCTATCTTCTACTCTGTGGTAAACCATGTTACTCCTCTACTGAATGTGCTTGCCTTTGTGTCCTGACAATTCAACGGTTAAGAATGGCCACAGGTACTGCATGCTTGTATGAAAACACTTCATGTACCCCATAAATACATATGCCTACTATGTACCCACAACAATTAAAAAGTTAAAAAAATCTTAAAAAGAAAAGAAAGTGAACAAAAACCAAGGATGGCCACAGAACTTTCTCCAGTGCACAGTTCTTTCTCAAAGATCACTGAAGCCAGAAGCAGAAACCTCCTGTGTGCCAAGCTCTGTACTCTTGGAATAGATCCTGATTTCTTCACAGCCAAGATGAGAATACTCCTGCTAAAATCAGAATAGCTAATAATAATAGTCCCTGGAGAGACTGAAAAATAAGATTCTACTTCTAAAAGATGTAAAACCTTTATCTAAATAACTTGAGGTAACTGAGATCACATACTTGCCACCCACCATAGCAAGAGAAGCTATGACAATCTCTTCTGACAACCTGGCTTTACTCTTCACAGCCCAGCATTAGCTGCAAGAAGTGCCTACTGGGGTTAATAGGATTGGGGCTATGTAGATATATCAGTTATTGCTGTCTGCATAATAAATTACTCCCAAATTTTGCAGCTTAAAACAACAGATATGTGTTATCTTGTACTTTCTGTGGGTCAAGGATCCAGATAGCCTTAGCTGGGTCCCTCTGGCTTAAGGTTTCTCGTGAGCTCAATCAAGATGCCAGCGCTTTGCAGTTATCTCAAAGGTTGACTTGGGGAGGATTTCCTTCCAAACTCACTCACACAGCTGTTAGCACATCCCAGGTCCTCACTGGCTCATGGCCAAAGATATTTGTTCCTTGCCACATAGATCAGTTCACCTCAGAGCTGGCTTCTGTCAGAGCAAACAAGTGAGAGGGCAAGAGGAAGAAAGAAAAGATGCCTAAGATGGAAGCTACATTCATTTTGATATTGAATATTGGGTCATCCCAATGCTTCTGCCACATTCTACTTGTTAAAAGCAAATCACGGCCAGGGAGGTGTGGCTCATGCCTATAATCCCAGCAGTTTGGGAGGCCGAGGTGGGCAGATCACTTGATGTCAGGCATTCAAGACCAGCCTGGCCAATACGGCAAAACTCCATCTCTACTAAAAATACAAAAATTAGCCAGTTGTGGTAATGCGTGCCTTAGTCCCAGCTACTCAGGAGGTTGAGGCAGGAGAATCACTTGAACTCAGGAGGCTGAAGCTGCAGTGAGCCGAGATCATGCCACTGCACTCCAGCCTGGGCAACAAGAGCGAAACTCCATCTCAATAAAATAAAAAAAAAAAAAAAACAAATCACTAGGTCCAGCCTACACTCACAGAGAGAGGAATACACAAAAGGCCGCACAGCGGGAGGCAGGGGTCACTATGATCCATCTTGGGGGCTGCCTACTACAAGAGGAAAACATTCTTATTTCCCAGAGCTACATTCAAAAGTGATTAGAAGTTCAATGTCATGATATCTGTAGTTTACTTTAAAATACTTCTGTGCAAAAAAAAAATAGGTAAAGCAAACATAACAACGTTAACTATTAAATCTAGGTGGTGATTATAAAGCTGTTCATTGTACTGCTCTTCGACTTTTCTGTTTGAAAAATTTGAACATAAAAAATCAAAATTGCCTGATCTTGTTCACTAGTAGTGGAGGTCAATGGGGGAAAAAAAAGAAGTACATTATGCTAAATTTTAAATTATAAAAGTTGGGAGACACCCTCCAATGTTTAAATGAGCAATGCTAAATAACTTCACTGACAAGTGAATTAAGTGCTTTGGGACCTATTTAATATCTATTTGTCCTGATGGTCTCATTGGAATGTTTCTCTTGTGATTTTGTCTAGGTGTATATTCAGTGAGGA